CCACAGCCTCTCTGGGCAACCTGTCCCAGTGTTTGACCACTCTCAGTAAAAAAGTGTTTTCTGGCATTCAGATGGCATTTCATGTGTTTTGATTCGTGATGATCGTCTCTTGTCCCATCAGTGAGCTCTACAGAGGAGAGCCTGGTTCCCTCTTCGTTCCCTCCCATCTGGTATTTATACAGATCTCTTCTGCAGGCTGAACAGCACCAGCTCTCTCAGCCTTTCTTCATATGAAAGATGCTCCAGTGCCTTAATCATCTTAGTGGCCCTGTGCTGGACTCCAGTAAGGAGCTCCAGATGGGTAGATGGAGAGATGCCATTTCTGGAGACGGTGGCCCCAGTGCAGTGGCACAGGAGGTGATATACCTTACTCCTGCTTCGTGAGGTAGCCTCTGTCTTGGGCTCGAAAACAAGGCCCTGATGGTGACAGTACCATGGGCAAGGCACAAACAGGGCAAACGGAGAAGGTGGCAGGGTTGGCAACAGTAGCAGCAAAAGGTTGACAGACAACAGTTGTTATGTTTGGTTGCTGCTTCCAGTAATTCACATTAATAAAACAAAAAGCAGTGGACTGCTTTGGTGCAGTTTTATACCACTGCTTTATTTTTCTCACAACTACATGGCAGTAGATTCATGAGGAAACACTTGCACAGCTTGAAAGATGGCAGGTCTTAAAAGAAGGCGCAGCACTTGGGGAAGGGAGAAGGGGTGAATAGTATTTATAGTTGACAGACTGGTTGAACTGTGTGCATCAGACCTTCAGTACATAGGATCAATATGTTTCCTAAGAGCTGCATTTGGTCACAGGACACCTGCCTGCTGTGCTAAGGGTGCCCCTGTGATTAATGATTTTGTCAGCTCAGATCACCCCAACCCCCCAGTGCAATTTGGGTTTTCAACAGGCATTTGATCACACAAGAGCATATGCTGGTTGTGCATGTTTTTAAAATTACTACATTTATGGAGTAAGTTGATCTGTTTGGCAAGTGCTGCCCTGCTTTATAACCTGCGGACAAAATCAGTTTCATCTGCAGCCTGCTCCGCGTGCGGACTCACTAATAATAGGTCAAGTATAAGGAAACGAGCTCAGAAGGAGTTGAAAGTAGAAAAACAAAACAAAATAAAAAACCGCAACCTCCACAACAGAGAAACGAGAAAGCCCAACCTGAGAAGTTAGAGGCATTACTGGGTGTTCCCTCTGACCCTACTTATGCAACTGTTTGCCACGAAGGGCGAGTAAGGTGGTGCCTTGCTATGACAAGGAGAACTCTGCTTTAAGTTCCCAAAACACACATCTGCTACCAAATAGCGGACTGCTTGGCCCCAGCAGCTGCTCTGAATATGAGATATATCTTCTCTGGTCCCTCCATCAGACCCATGTCAACAGGTCCTACCAGGTGCCTGGGGGATCACAAGTGGCACTAGATAGCTGCTGTTAGGTAACTGAACTGCACCACTGTACTAAAGAGGGTTTCCTGCCACTTTGTAATGGAACTATGAATTATCTATGTATTATCTTATTGAAGCTGTAAATGAAAAATTATTTTCAGTTTTTAATTTCCGGTATTTTTCATACATTCAAGAAATAAGTACAACATTTTTGGCAGAGGTTTTTAACATTCCCTGTTTTCATGTCACAACATCTACTACATCGAGCTGGAAGCAGTTTCTCACTGATTTCCTTATGGGCCAGCAGTGTTCCTCATGTGATTCACATCACTATAAATGTGAACAGAGTGAAAAAGGACAATTAACAAGGGTTGTTTGGCAAACATCCCCTTTTTCTTTATGGATGTTCTTACTCTGCAAACATAGGAAAGCAGCAAAGTGCATAAAACATGTTGAACCACCCAGCCTGTTACTTGTTTTTTGTTTGAGTATTGGTTCCACCTGGAAATCAGAATTAAATATGTGATACATAGCCACATAACACCTCCCATCTGAGGATTTTTAAGTACTTAATTAAACCTTTCAGACTTTTATAAGGCTGTGTACTATCCCCTTTCTAGGTGGCTAGCATGGAGATGGGTGAATAATTTATAGGACTATGAGACATGACTACTCATCTGTTTTACTTGACTGTGAGCTTATGTAGCTGGTAAAAATAAACCTTCATTTGTTACTGGCTGTTGTTGCTGAGAGAAATGTTACCTAATAACAACAAAAAAAACCTTAGGTAAATTTTAGGTGAAAGAACAAAATGGTTAGTAATTGCAGTTTTAAAACTTGTATCTAGGTGAATTTTTCCTGCTTCTTTCAAGCTTCTGGAAGTGGCATCTTTGGCTTTCAGGCAGATTTTGTTTGAGAAGGGTTAATAATTCAGTGCCTAGTGAGGATACAGTACAATCAGCCAGCTGATGTGCTTTGAAACCTCACTGTTTGAAGAGTTATTCAAAATTCGTCTTTCCCTGCCTCTGCCTTCTGTGTGATGGTTGCTTGTGCTCACAGCATTGCTGCTTCTCTTAGTTTTTTAGAAAAGGGGCTGCAGGATCCCATGGACTTTATTTAGGTAACCCAACATGACTGCAGTCCGCGGAGCCCCATGGAACTTCCTTTTTCACGGTCATCTGCAGTGGTTGATCTCAGTTCTGGATGCATTTACTGGTGAAAGGGCACTACTGAGTGTCTTGCTGCAGCCTGGTGACCTCTGGAAGCCATAAATATCTCTGAGCAGCTAACATCAACATGGAGGAGTCTCAAGTTTGGAGCAGGAGACATGAAAATCGCTTGCAGTCATGTCTGTGCCCCAGGCTGTTTCACATCTAGAGGCTTGCATGAGGCCCTCAGCTGTAAACTGTTCTTGTGCACAAAGCCAAGAACATGGATTTTCACTTTTGTTTCTAATTATGTAGGATACAACTGCTTTCTTATGGTCTTTTCCTCAGTCTCACAAGTTGTTTACAGGTCACTGACTTCAATGCTAGCCCAAGACATGAAAGAAACAGCACAGCCAGTTTAGGAACCCTTCGATACTCTCTCTTCTCACACACTCTGATGTTTCTTGTGCAGTAATTGCTTGATGCCGAACTCAGATTTTTAAAATCAATTTAGAGAAACAAAAGTGTTCAAAAAATTGTAGTGGGTTTGCCTCAGTGGCTTAACTTGTAATGTGTCTGTAGCGCAGAAGTCCATCAGGTAAAGGATTTATCACTGTTCAACACTTTTATGGTTATATATATTTAAAAGAACTCAGAATCAAAATTTAAAAGTGAATGTGAATTGACATAAATTCAATTCTAAAATTATTGGAACATAATTCAGCACCTGTAACCTACCCAGTGACTTCTGTGGGGTTGCATTGCTTCAAGTCAGTAGCAAACAAGTCTCTTAAGAGCAAGAAGAGCCTCTTAAAATAAAATCAGTCGCAATACCATATAACCATATGCTACAACATTTGGTCTTTCTGCATATCATCTCTCTTATGAAGGATCTTCATCTTGCATGCAATTATAAAATGCATTGCCTTTCTATTCCTTCTGCAGTCCAAGTCAGTCCCCGTTACAGCAATAGAAACACGCCTGTTAACCACAGCGAGAGATGGACTCTGTCCTGAATGACTATATGAGTGATCAAAAGATACATATTATAGGAATGTACAGTTATGCTGTGAGAAATTCTGCTTTCATTCTCTTCAAAGGTTTCAGGCATCTCAGGGAATCCCAGAAAATCGTAACAGTAAGTCTTATGAGCACACATGAGTTTATCAAAACCCTCATCATCTGATTCTGTGCATAAATAAATACATGAATAATTTATTTACTTCATCTTTATAATCAAACAATCCTGGTTTTTTTCTGTCTTACTTGGCATGGTAGGAGTAGCCTCAGTCTGTGTTTCTGCCTGGGGCCTATAGCTCATTATTTCATATCAGTGCTTGTTCTCTGGGTTTGATGACCAAGCGAGAAGGGGATCCCGTTGTGCTAGGTGAGTCCTGCCCTGGGAGCTGTGAACCTCCTAGCCCTGATCCACGGGCAGGCAAGGCAACCAACGCAGATGAATTGCAAGCAGTGAATCAGTGTGGTGGGGAACATATCACATGTACTTATTTTCAAAATTTTGGGTGAAATTCTGTTAATGATAGAAGGGTTGTTGAGATTAAAACAAAGCAGATGGAGGCTGATAAAACTGGAGAAGAAGAGGCAGAGGTAATGAACTGGGGGAGAAGAAATTTCAAGGGACATAGGGTCAGACAGGGTCCACGGGGACTGGACCAGGCAGAGAATGGACAGGGTGAAAATCCCCCACTGGCATCTCTGCTGCTGTGCCTGGTGGGACAGCAGTTTCTCCTGCTCCTCTTGGCTTTGGTTTGACTTAGGGCCTTGAGTGATGCCTCACTGGCATTGTTTGTGCTCCCTGAGCCCACCTGGCTTGGGGAAGAGTAGTCCTTTCCCTGCCCAAGTGCCCCCAGAGGGGGTCAGTTAATCCTGAATGGGAAGAACTGTGATTTCACCCAACTTGTTTCTGCCCCAGCTGATAAGGACTCCTGACTGCGAGGGTAATGTAGTCCTGGGCTACTCCAGGTTATCTGGAAAACTGCTTGGAACCAGCATGTCCTTGTGATGAATTGAGGCTCAAAAGCAGAAGCAAAATCCAAAGCATTCCTCAAGGCAAATAACAGCAAGGAGAGGATCCATAACTCAGTCATAACTCGTCATTGAAGCAGTGGGATGAAGAACGGAGGAAGTGCCGCTGTGTGTGTGGGTTACTGTAGGGATTTTCCTTCTTATAGGAAAATGGATGCATACTGTTGCTGAGGAAACAAGTCTCCCAGGGGAAGGTCGTTTTTTCCCTGGTGTGGATTTTTGCTGCCTCATGCTCACTCAAGTCAATTAACTTAAAACCTACAAACTGCACATGCTGTGGGTCTGCAGTTATCATATGGAACTTTATACAGTTGCATGAGGTTTTAATCATAAACAGATGAGGAATGGATTCAAGTTTATATTCCTCTTTAAATATTTGTGTTCCTATAATGGAATATTGCCCATTTTTCTCTGTAGGTGCCAGCTTGCGTGATGACCTCAGTAAATACTTCTGGTTTCACCATTCTCAAGGGGACATGATGACAGTTCAGGATCCAAACCAGATGAATCTCTGTGCTGCTGTTTGGACTGTTGTCTCCTATGTAATTGCTGACATGGAGGAGATGTTGCCAAGGTAATAAAACATCAAGAAAGAAGATTTCTGTTCTTCAGTAAAGATTGTGAGTCCACTAATGCGTATGGTCTACAGCTGTGGGAAATTCTGTTTTTCGCCCTGATTTTGTGCATTATGATGTCTGTTTTCCTCAAACCATATGCTCTTTTACACATTCATGTTTCTTTTTGCTGTTTCAATATCTTCCATTTGTGATTTTCACCTAAATTTCTTCTTTTAAGTACTTTTTAAAATTCTGATGAAGGTATGATACCTCTTTGACTGTGATATAACAACTGTTTTGTGCAAAGTGATTTGTGCAGCAGGAATAATAAACCAAATAAATTTGTTGCATCAGAATAGATGTATTGAGTTAGTGTACATGTTTATGGGGTGGTGTTCTGTCTTTCACTCTATGCATTAGAACTATGTGCTATTAATAAAACAGCCCTTTCTTTTTACTCTCCTAAGATAATGCTGTAGTTTCTATACAGTTTTCAGGTTATAGGACAAATTAATCTTGGCTGGTTTAACTGTAATATATGGTAAAATGGTCAAATAATGGTCAAAATGCTAAAATAATAGGGCTTTTAGTATTTCATTCAGCTGCCGCTGTTAAATCTTACTAGAGGTTGCTTCATGCAAGACTTTGATAAACCAGGACACAGAGGATAGGAAGCCAGCCACAGGAATACCAGATCTCCTGTGTTTCTTCAGGCACCTCCCCGTGGAAGGCTCTGTGTGTCGTTTTCTTTCGGATGGAACACTCGCCATAGTGACATACAAAGTATTTCATAGGGCATTTTTTTCTCTGAAAAAAATTATGATGTTTCAGAAACGGCATCACAGCTGTGATTTGTGACCTTCACTGCCTGCCAGCTGATAGCCAAACAAAGTGTGAGAGCAGATTTCGATTCAGGCTCCTGAAGCCATTCCCAGCTGCCCCTCTCTTGCAGGGATGCTCTGCCCTGCTGGAAGCTGAGTGAGAGGATGCTGGTACATATGCACTTTGATGGAGGAATTAACCTGGGAATTTGATTCTTGTATACTTTGTTGGTTTTTGGTTTTGTTTTTATTTCCAGCTCAATGATTGTGAACATTTAGATATAGTTTCAGGGGTATCTGTAGAGGAGATATAACTGGTGTTGGGGAATATTTTAAGGCATGTGATTTCTGCTCATTTCTTTGTGACATGATCCTTGTTTGTGCTTTTAAATTTTACAACAAACAAACTTACTGATGTGTGTAACTGCTGCAATATAATCAACACCAAACAACTAACGTAATGAACAACACGGAGTATTAAACCAAACGGCAGGCAGTCCCTGTTGCTGTTAATCAGCTCTGTAGTTGAGCAATAGCTGAGTGATGAGCCATTCATTTTTACAGAATTACTAACCATGATATATCTGTTTACCATGATAATAGCGGGTTTACATCAAATTTATTAAATATTTCCATTTTCCCTCCAAATCATTTCAGGAACATATAAGCTTCCTGGAGATACTCTGCTCTTTCTTTTTAAAGAAACAGTATTGAAATAAAGTTCACAAAAATTTCCTCTGCTTTCAAGGCATCATGCCTATGCTTCTTTTTTCTGATTTGCTTGACAAGAGCGTAGCTGGTGGAGCTCACCATTGACAGATCCTCAGCTATCTCTAAATCCAGCCTGTTGACCTTCACAGAATATCACTGACCATTTCCTGAACTGCATTCCACATCTTTTTCCCTCAAAGTTTGCCACTTTGTACATCAGAGATTCAGAAGGGTTTTCCATGAAGTTACATTAATTGTTACAAATCTTAAACTGTGCTCACTTGAAAATGGGGTTTATTTGGGGTTTTCTCTATTGGCTCAAGTTAAACAGAGAATCTCTGGAGTCAAGAATACTCTGCAGAGAAGAACACTGCAGTGTGCACGTGGCGCCACATCCCAAGATGTGCTTGTTGGCTCCTAGGCTACATAAAATAAGCTGTAAAAATTAAGACCATGATGCCCCTTAAGAAAATTTAACCTTCACGTCAGCTTCAGATACACGGTTCTAGAGAGAACTTTACAGGGTGGGTTTTGAAAAAAGATGTTCAAAAATCAATATTGCCAACTTATTTTTGTAGAAATAGTGACATTAAAAATATTTTAGTTCTCAAATTGAACAACAAAGATTTTTTTACTGTAAAACTAGATTTCATTAAAATAAGACTTTGTCTTTTTGATTCACCTGTTCTTTTTTGTCTGATTTGTGATAGTTCTCAGACCTAGAAGTTCAGCTGTTCACAGCACTGTCCTGATAACCTGCCTGTTCAGATGTACCTCTCTCAAAAATTTCCGTAAGCAGAGAGATGCTAATGAATTTCTTTCCGTTTGCAGTGGGATTTTGTACCTTCTGTGCCATAGCTCATCTTTATGCCTGCTCAGTGTAGCAATTATGCTGTTTCAATTGGTGGCAATTAAACATGTGTCAGTTGGTCAAATTTCAGTTCAAGAGCATTTCTGAAGCAATCCAGGTAAGCCAGCATAACTTGGCTTTCCACTGGCATGCCGCCTTTGATCTTTGAGAGTCTTTCTCAACTTTAGTTGAGAAAGTAATAGCTGAGGATATTATTTGTATTACTATTATTGTCAGGGTCAGCTGCCATAAATCTGTGCTTTTCATAAGTATTTTGATGGCATTCTGAGATAAAGGGACTGTGTGTGCATTTCCCTCTGATAAAATAAAACACTATCAGCTTTGGACTAGATTGCTTTTTGTCTGCAAAGATCTGTGAGCTGAGAGTTGAAAAAACAGCAGTAATATTTAAATGTATGTCAAAAATTTAAATTTCAAATAAACATTTTCCTCAAGGTATTACAAATCTCTTGCATCTGCTGAGAAGGGAGGCCCCTGGGTAGCCTTCCTTTCTGCTACAAGTCAAAGCTTTCAGACATCGTACAGAGGGACGAGGCCAATACATAATTCATTTACTCGACTAGACTATAGCACAAATACTGATGAAAAGTCTCTTTTCAGTACTGCGTAATGTAACGTAGGTAATTTTGCCAGTAATAAAAGAAGAATTGCAGGATAGGAAACCGAGTTGGTGCTTTTGTCCTTCATGTGTCAAGACATTATTGGAGTTTCACTGTCTCTTTGAATGATTCAGTTCTATGTGATCCCACAAGATTTTTACCTCCCTTAAAATAATTAAAAACAAAGAAAGAGAGCTGTTTCCTGGAACAAGAGATGAAGCGGTGCTTCTGCGGCTGCTACACTGCAAACATCTCTGGCTGGATATTTAGTTAGCATGCTTCTCCCATAATGATATGAGACATTTCCATTTACCATGAGTAAATATCAAACTGATCTTGATATCTATATCTGTCTCATGAAATATACATACCATCTAAATGTGCCCAAATGATTAATTTACTGCTGTGTAATGATTAGCATAAAAATCTCATCACTGCACAGGATAGAGATGTTACCACTAATTGCTGGTTGAAGTGAACAATGTTTTCTGCATAGAAATTAATGATGCATGCGTCACAGCTCTTGAATGGGGAAGTTCAAGACTTTCTGGAAGAGAAACTTCTTCTTTTTCCTCTCCTCTCCTCTCCTCTCCTCTCCTCTCCTCTCCTCTCCTCTCCTCTCCTCTCCTCTCCTCTCCTCTCCTCTCCTCTCCTCTCCTCTCCTCTCCTCTCCTCTCCTCTCCTCTCCTCTCCTCTCCTCTCCTCTCCTCTCCTCTCCTCTCCTCTCTTCTCCTCTCCACTCCCCTCCCCTGATCATGTATAATAGAAAGGAATATTATTTTGTGCATGGTGCATTTTATCATTGCACCACACTTACGGAAGTGTTTTAACTTACACCTTTTCTAACCTTCTGTCTACAGCACGTGCATGGAAGCACTGTCCACAGGCACACCTTAATCTTTCATGGTCATAGCTTCTGGAAGCTCCAGCCATTTTGCATAAAGGTTTGGCCATCTACAGAGCTGTGATTTATGGTTACAATTGTTTAATAAATATATTGTGCTAGCATCTGATTAAGGGCTTTAGGTGCCTCTCTTCTTAGGAATCCCCTTTGCCCTTGGAGGAGGGACCTTGATGACAACTTTATATGCAGCTCTGTTTAGGTTGCAGTTTGATTTCACTTCAAGACAGATCAGCCTCCTTTAGTTTATGTTAAGTTTCTGTTTTCAGGGGTTTTTTCGGTCTTTCACTCTTTCTTTCTCAGTGTCTGTATTGCGATGTGGGTATTAGGAATGACTAACAGAAAAAATCTGTGTATTTTGTGCCTTGGGGCTCAGGAATTGCAAGATGTGATTGAGATGACTTGGAAGAGCAACACATAAGCACATGGGTGAGAGCTCCATCAGGGCCACTACTTGCCATTTTCACTGTCCTACGTTATTTGCAGACAGAGCTTTGTGATCAGTGCAACGAGTTTTCATCCCCAGTCATGATTTTCTATATAACTACATGCAAATCAGGGCTATGGAAACTAAAGAGGGAAACTGTGGAGAAGGGACTACAAAAATTAAGGCAAAGTAACACTGAGGCAGGGACTGTGGCTTCAAGTACCAATGTTTTTTTCTGCTTTGCTGGATGAGTTGGGGTACACTACCTAAATTTACCTCAGTTTCACTGTTAAATGTTGGTAGTGGTGTTTCGCGCTTGTGTTTGGTGCAGCATGATTTAACAGTACTGTGTTAAAGTACATGATGCATGTAAAATTAAGTTCACAGCAGAGGTGAGGTTCAGTTGGAGGAGAGGCATGAGAAGTTAATACCTTTTAGCTGCGTAAGAATTCATCTGTGAAATGTGTCTTTTAGTAATTACTGTTTGCATTTACATTACTTGCATTATTCACATTTTCATTACTATTTGCACTTACTATTTGTCATGAGAAACAAAAAGAAATATTCCTCCTCCAGATACTGCCATTTCAAAATACAATTTAGGCATTAGGCATATCCATTTTAAACTAATGGTACTACTTTGCATCCAGCAATGATGTGAGACAATTGTGTATGCAAAATGGTTACACAAAATGCCATCTATATATAACATTTCACAGCTTTGGACCATCACACACATGCTAAATCTCTTCCACAAAATTGGTGGCTATACAGTGGGGCAGTTTGGGAAAAGAGAATAGGTCAAATGGTTTTCCAGAAGCTATGCAGCCAGTCAGTCCTAAAGTAAAGTTTAAGATACAGAAATTCCTACCTCAGCCAAACTCTGCTGCCCCATAAATACGTTGCTACTTTATTTTTACAGCACTGAGATAATTTTGAAGCTGCAGTGTAAAATTTTGTGCAAAAGTAACAGTTTTGAGCATATGCAACACTCTGGACTGCGAATTCAAAAGCAAGAAATGAGAA